ATGCAGAAACTTGTTCTCTGGGTCTCGAAGATCATAAAATCTAAAAAAAATTAAATGAGAAAGGCTAATCATGCACAATTTTGGGATAGAATTTAGAAAAGTAATTAACCAAGCAAACCTAGAATTTTGGCACGTCAATCTAATTATAGAAACATACATATACATTTCTGATATCTACTTACCTACGTGTACGCTAATTTAACTACACGTCATTACTACGGATCTTTTTTTCTTTTTTCGAATTGGAAATCCATGCTTAGCAATCATGTACGTACAGATTCAAACTTGACATTTCTAAATAAAGTAACATAAAGATTTGACACTATATATTATAAATTGGGCTCTTACTTCAAAAGTGAAAAAAATGAATATTTGGATTCTAATATATAGAATAACAGTAAAAGATCTAATGTACCAATGTACATGTAAAGAAATATTTCCATGTTTTTTGGGTTTTTTTTACAGGCAGTTTTACAGTTTTACTAAATTACACATTTCCAAGTCTACAATTTACATATTCATTTGAAAACCGCTGCCACATCTGATCTGATGCTTCTGGTATATATATATATATATATATATATATATATATATATATATATAGCAAGGTAACTTTAATCTGAAATATCGTAGTTTTTAAATTTAAAAGCGACGATTTAGAATGGATAAGTTTGTGCTATTCTAGTCGTTATTAATTTGCCCAGGCAGGAATATTTGCCGAGATGCCAAGTGTGATCTTGAATTGAACAGGTCAGAGCACGTGTTTTATTTTTGTTTTGTTTTTGTATTTCGTTTTTGCCGCATGTATCAGCCGAATATGTTTTAGTTTTGGATCAGTGGCTATGAAGGAAATGGTGTAAAATCAAAACATAGGATTTGGTCTTTTAGCCCCGATTTTAAACAATGAAAAATTGAGACATTTGGGCATGTGAACGATTTGAGATGTGGGCGGAGAATTATGTATAAATTCAGCTCAATTTTGTGCAGACAGAGACGGCCTGGGATGCCAGACAGATGGGTCGTCAGATACACACGCAGTTACACACTCACACGAGGAACGCGCCTAATATTCCCTTGGATTTCTGATTGAATCTTGTTAAACACATAAATCGAGATTTCAAGTCGCCACCTTCTAATCTTTTTGTGTTAACAGATGCAAAAATGTTCGATTGTAAATTATTCTATTCAACTTCATGAAGTCTTCTATAGTTACCCAAAATTGGCATTATTATTTCTTTGGTGGGAGCGTGACTTTATTTCCAATCTGTCCAGACGTCAACAAGTAGTTTTCCACGGCTTATTTGCTAAAAGAAGAAAGACAACTTTCTTTGTCAATAAGAATCAAAGCACTTAAAGAATCAAGACTTGGACAATCGAAGACTTAAACTGGCACCAATCCCTAAACCAGTTTGAAGCTGTATAACTCTCCTTGACCAATAGACGTGCGAAGATTGAGATTATCGGAATAAGCGGGGTCAGAACTGAGCGGTTGCACGTCGACAGTAAGCGAGACTAGACCAATGGGGCCTATGAGAAGATAGGCTGTTGTATATATATATATATATATATATATATATAGAGAGAGAGAGAGAGAGAGAAACTTTTGATAATGTACAAAGACGAATGTGCAATGTTATTATGTGCACATAAAGATTAAACAGGTCAGAGTATGTGTTCCATTTTTGTTTTTTTTTAATTCGTTTTTTACGCATATATCAGCCGAATATGTTTCAGATTTGGAGCAGTGGCTATGAAAGAAATGGTGTAAAATCAAAGCATAGGATTTCCTCGTTTAGCCCCGATTTTAAGCAATGGAAAATTGAGACATTTGGGCATATTGTCTTTAAAAATATTTTCTACTTAGCGTAATACATGACATCTAATACAATTTAGAAGGGCTGTAAAATTTAATACTCCCATGACAGTTTGGAGGAAAGAGGGAAAAAGGAAAGCAAAGCATAATCAACAGAAAAATGTATAAATTCAGCTTACATTCCTCGTAACGCACTGCGTGCTAGTGGCGTTCTCGCCTTGCTGAGTGGTGAAATGATTAAAAAACCTAGAAAGCGTCATTAAGACTTAAAAGATGTTTTCCTATATTAATCTTAGCCTAGTCTGGCGCATAGCTACAAGTCTTGGGTACCCCTTGAGGATCGAACCCACTATTCTTTACTCTTCGTTATTATGTGCAATCTCTGTTTCAGTTACTTTTTCATCGCTGTAACGTAGCCTCCTTGAGTCTTTTCAATAAAGACTTCCATGATAATTGTTTTGGATAACCTTACTCTATGATACGTAATCTTTATTACTTTAAGCTCAGTACTAGATTGGTGGCAAGGTTTCATTAATTTACAGTTTAAATATCAACCTGTAATTGTATCTTCTATGCTAAGAGTTTCTTCTCTCGCACATGAAATTTTCATCCGACTTCTTGTTATCCAGTCAACTTTGATCTTCAAAAATGTAAATGCAATGCCAATCGCTATCTACTCACCTCTTAATTGTTGTTGACTTATTGCTTTCTATTCTTCATAATTTCTTCCTCATATTCTCTGACACTCGGCAACCCCTTGAGGTTTACGGGCTTGTTTGGAGTAAAATACAGTTAATTTTATTAGTGTGATATACTAATTCATTAATATTCACTCTTAACACCACTTATATTATGGGAGTTAAAGAACGATGAAAATATATAGTGAGGATTGGCATATCTTTACTATGTTCCGAGTTGGTTGGGTAGGTATTGAAGTTAGAAGAATTATTGACATTGTATTAATCATTAATCGTTGTATTAAATGGTATGATTAAAGAAGAGATTAATTTGATTGATGACTTGAAAACGCACGGTCGAGTGCCGAAATGGCTTAGTAAGAGAGAAGGATAAATGTTTCCATTTAATCACCTAAGAGAAGCTTTTCTGTCTGCCGTGAGCATGGCTAATGCCAGATCCAAGACAGCGAGAAAATACGCATTTTTCGTCTCACGTTTTCCTCTGATTTGAAGTGGGAATCGAATCAATAGCTGCAAGTAAAATTGGGTTACTGTGTCGTGCCAAAAGATTTTTCACGCCATAATCCATCTTGCACATTTCTAAATCTACCATTCTTCCGTGCCTTGAATACTGTTGCCATATTGGGTCTTGGGATCCTTTAAAAAAAATCCAATGATGTAATAAACCCCGATCAGGCATCTCAACTTCAGTCAATTTCTCACCGTCATGACATAGTTTCTTTTCTACAAATATTTCATGGCAACTGATCTGACGAGCTTTTTTTTCCTTTGTGCTCCGATTTTAAGCACCTAGGTCCCACCTGTTTACTGTTGAAATAGTTAAATACAACCGCCATTTCTACCCCAATATTTTTCTTTTCTCGCACTTCCCGTCTGTGGAACTCCCGTCCATTGCTTCCTTGATAACTACACTCTTCAAAAGTTTAAATGTAACGTCAATCGCCATGTTCAGTTTTCTTGAAAAACGTTTAACTTTCGTCCTTTCCCCAATCCTCCCTATTCCAGTCTTCTCATTCATTTTCATTCCTCGTAACGCACTGCGTACAAGTGGCATTCCCGCCTTGCTGAGAGTGAAATGATTAAAAAACCTAGAAAGCGTCATTAAGCCTTAAAAGATGTTTTCATATATTAATCTTAGCCTAGTCTGGTGCATAGCCACAAGTCTCGGATACCCCTTGAGGATCGAACTCACTATTCTTTACTCAGTAATTACTCAGTAGTAATGCTCGACCAGGTAAAATCAATACACTTTACAGCACGCCGAATCGTCCAAACTTTTGGAAATTTGGTGATGTCGGAACCAGACAAGTACAAACGTTTAAGTAACTTAAAAGTACTATAAAAGTCAATGGAAAATTTGACACATAGGTCCGATGGTGCATTGGAACAGCAAACATTCCTTCCTAAAGACAGAACAGTTTTCTTTGCAAAGACAGAAAAGTGTGTTGGAATGCAATAAGCGCACTCCGATATGGCAGGTAATGCAGATAAAAATTGTTCAAGCACAAAAAGAAAACTAAACGTAACGGAGTTTGTTTTGTTTTGTTTTACGACAAATCACCCTCAATGGGTTATTTAAGGCCGACAAGATTTTTATTGCTTGTAATTTTTTTTTCCAAAAATATTGCTGGAAAGATTTTTTTCTGCAAAAATGTATTGCTGCTAACAATGTATTGCTGGTAATTTTCTTAACAAAAAAATTATTTCTGGTAATAAAACCTATTTTGACACTTTCATAGTGTCTTGACCCCAGTTTGAGGGTGAACTATTTGCCTATAGTTGGGACCCTAACAAGTGATACGACCCTGGGTCAAGGTGGACCCGGGAACACCAGCAATTAATAGGTGGTTACATCCTCCTTAAGCCTCCTAATCAGAGGCTTTCCTGTTGGATGGAGTTTATCGTTTTACCCAGGACGCAGATGTAGTTTATCATCTTACCCAGGACGCTGTAACGGAGTTGACGTTCTGTAAAAAGGATGGTACAAATACTGTAGACGAAGCATTTTAGCAACGAGGAAATTTTGATTAATTTGTGACTAAAAGGACACGCCTCGTCAAAATCAAAAAGAGTCGACTGAACGTTATTAGACGCATAATGAGGAAAGATATGTTGAAAAGGCTGGCAGTCACAAAATATATGGAAGCCAAAAGGGACACCAGGAGGAAGCGGGACTCCTACCTCAATGGATAGAGGGCTGGTAAAAACGGTTTACGGATACATACCGTTGAAACATCGGTTCTAGTAAGAAGTTAAGCAACGTCGTGCCAGGTCAGTACCTAGATGGTATGACCGCGTGGGAATACCAAATGCTATAAGCTTGAATGTGCGAATGGTATAAAGGGCTCACGGCCACATCAAGTTGCAACACTGGCTCCCGTACGACCACCAAAGTTAAGCAACGTCAAGCCTGGTCAGTACCTAGATGGTGTGATCGCTTGGGAATACCAAGTGCTATAAGCAGAATGTGCGAATGGTATAAAGGGCTCACGGCCACATCAAGTTGCAACACTGGCTCCCGTACGACCACCAAAGTTAAGCAACGTCAAGCCTGGTCAGTACCTAGATGGTGTGACCGCTTGGGAATACCAAGTGCTATAAGCTTGAATGTGCGAATGGTATAAAGGGCTCACGGCCACATCAAGTTGCAACACTGGCTCCCGTACGACCACCAAAGTTAAGCAACATCAAGCCTGGTCAGTACCTAGATGGTGTGACCGTTTGGGAATACCAGGTGTTTTAAGACTAGGTTTGCTGGTGTTGTAACTGATAATGTCCCTGAACTTGAAATCGGAGATTCGGCTTCTAATTCCAAATGGGTTCGTTAAATTCACTTAAGAGCAAATACCCTTGGGAAAGATTGAATCCACCTCTTCCCCCTCCAGCTATGGATTAATTTGTAAACATTATTTACAAAAAATAAAATAAAAAATGCTTAAAAATATTTAAATTTCGGCATTAACCCTGCGTTAGTCACCTCGGATTTTCAAAGATGGATAGTTCCTTGACATCTACTTCCCACAACTGAGCTACAACTGCGCCACAACGCATGATAGACCTCACCCCAGGGAGTCAGAAAAATCGTGAGAGGGAGCAAAAGAAATGAGTTGCTAACTATGAATTACAAGTACTTTAAAAGATTTGAAGGTAAAAAAAACGGCACATGTGACTAACGCATAATTAAATAATTCATAGAAGTTGATATTCCTCTAAACAGATACAACCATAAAATTGTTAAAACGACAAGCATTAAATATCTATTATTTACATTGTTCAGATTGTTATCCTTAACTTTACTGCCATGTTCACAACGTTTCGGTCGTTGTACACTCCATCCTTCTTCAGGGGATTGGAATTTGGAACTGAACCTTTATTTCGTCAAACTGGGTAGATGCCAAACTAGTAAGCACGCTTAAATTCATGTAAAAGGTGCATCAGGGAAGGCAGCTCATCAGAAATGTTGCCATGAAAGTATTTGTAGAAAAGACAGAGGGAAGACACATCACGTCTATGAGAGTGTGACTGAAGTCGAGATGTCAAGTCAGGACCGATTGCATTGCAGATTCCTCTTTGGATTTTGTCGAGAACCCCGAGATGAACCGCAGGGGCATCAGACCAGATTTGGCAACAATATTCAATGCATGGACAAATGGCCGACTTTTAGATGTGTAAGATGGCTTCTGGTGAAAAAAAACGTTCTGTCACGACACAGTGAACCAACTTTCTATGCAGAAGATGCAGCTATTAAATCTATCATACTAATCCTCCCAATGCATACCTCATGATCTTCTCGCTATGCCCTTACAAAAATCTCATTCAGCAATCCTCTATGACGGGCTCTGGAGCCTTATATTTGGTGTACAATAGTATAAAAATTTTTTAAAAAAAGTTTCTCTCCTCTTCTTCTACCGTTTTCTTTTTCTCTTCATTTGTACAATACCTACTTCTTCGACTTCTTCCTCTCCTAATGTATTGCTTTATTTTCTTTATTTACTTTCTCCATTTCTTTTTCGTCTTCATTTCTCTTCGTCGTCGTCTTTTTTCTGTTGATTATGCTTTGCTTTCCTATTTCCCTCTTTCCTCCAAACTGTCATGGCAGTATCAAATTTTCCAAGCCCTTCTAAATTGTATTAGATATCATGTATTACGCTAAGTAGAAAATATTTTTAATGACAATATTTTGTCTTTCCTTTCGACGACAAATAAAAATAAAATTAATAAACTTGAATTTGGCGACATAGTAATTGTGAGTTCAATCGCTAAGCTGGGCACAGTGTAATTTAGATTCAGTGGAAATAGAGCAAGCAGTAACTAAGCATATATGAAAAAGACGAGATATAATCAGACATTGACAGTGGAACGAGAAGGGTCTACCCATTATATTAAATAATGTGTTTAGTTTGAAATCCTAATTAATTTAACCGGATCAATATATTTCATTTTTATTTACATTATATTCTGCTCAGTACTAAAAAGAAGAGAATAGCCTAGTAGATTAAGGAATTGGTTTGTAAATTTAGTGATATAGTAATTGTACACTATTTGCATTATTCGGATTATTGTTCTCATCTTTGTTGCCATATTTATCACAACGTTTCTGCCGTTGTACGCTCCGGCCTTCTTCAGGTGGTTGGGATGTCGAACTTAACCTTGTATTTCACTTAATCCGCTGTGGATAAAGGCGTTGGTCAGATCCAGTGACAGGACCCAAAGAGTTGTGAGTTCAATAACTGGTTAAGGCAGTGGAGAACTTGGAGAGGTGAATTAACAGGAAATAATTTTAGACATGGTATGTGGAATTATAACAGTCTACACCAGCGAGCGAAGTAAGGGTTTCAGTTCGACATTCCAACCACCTGAAGAAGGCCGAAACGCTGTAATAAATATGGCGACAAAGTTGAGGACAATAGTCTGAATAATGTAAATAGTAAACACTGTTTATAAGCTTCTTCTTGCTCTAAATCTTTGATTGTTACCCCAGAGGTTAAGATAATAGAGGAGGTTTGTTGTAGTGATTATCGTAATATTTTGGCTTTAGTATATTTATCCAAACCGAATTCGATTCCAGTGTCAACACTGAAACATTTTACTGTTTTCAGACCTTCCAGCTCACTGGAATTCTCAGCATACAGCTTCATAAATCATCCATGTAAAATAGATGACTTATAGCCATATTCCGCCCTGTTAATTTCGCTGGTTAATGCTATTAGGGATATGCAAAATAGTAAGAGAGACAAAGAGTCATCTTGAAATATTCCTCTGCTGATATAGATCCAGTGAAGGACGCAAAGAGTTGTGAGTTCAATATCTGGTTAAGGCAGTGGAGAACTTGGAGAGGTGAATTAACAGAAGATAACTGATAACTGACATCCATTAGACATGGCACATGGAACTTGAACAGTCTACCCCAGCGAGCTAAATAAAGGGTTCAGTTCGACATTCCAGCCACCTGAAGAAGGTCGGGGCGTACAACGGCCGAAACGTTGTGATAAATATGTATTGTGAGACCGGAAACTACCTACACAATAGACTCTTCCAGGCCTATATTAAGTAGGCGACATAGCACTCTAGAGAGTGACATACATACTGACATAGAGAGACAGAGAGAGCTGCGTACGACTACCAGTATTGGACACTAACATATAGTAAGCTCCGCTTACACTATCTCTTTAACCTGTTGTTAATATATCTTTCTTACATCTAATCCGTGTTCCGTGTTTTACTTCTGTGGTCCCAACTTTGGCACCCACATCAATATGGCGACAAAGATGAGGACAATAGTCCGAATAATGTAAATATTGTACATAATACCACATCTCAGAAATATAGACAGATATAGTAATTGTGTATTCAATCCTTGGAGCGAGGAGTGAGTATTTAGATCCAGTTGAAACAGGATAAATAATCATCGAGCAGTACTAAAAACACTAAAAAATGAGATATCCCTAGAAATGGACAGTGGAAAAAAAGTAGTTTCCAACCGTAGATTAAATAAATATAAAGATTAGGACAGCTGTCTGCATGTAAGCCGTGTAAATAAATGAATAAAACTGAGATTAACAATAAATATACAAATGTGTAGAATTCAAGGCAACAAAAGAAATGCTTCGGTAACTAAACCGAATGAAAAAAAAAGCTTTTGAAATTCAATGAAATAATAAATAAAAGCAAAGTCATTTCATTTCAACATATATTCCTTGGAAACATGAATATGCATGAGTTAATTTTCATGGCTATGAATCCGGCTCTCATGCTGCCTTTGAATCGAAAAGATATGATATAAATACTCATAAATATTCATTCACTGAAAAGGCAATTATTCAAAGAATTTCATTGCCTTCCGCAACGATAAACAAAATAGAATTTTACAAATAAATGTGGAATTTAATGGGAAAATACATATTGCAATATGTGTAACATATGTATTTGAATGAATGCATTAAACAATTAGATTAGGTCGGTTAATTTATCGACTATCAAACTCTTATCAGTTTAATTAATGTTATAGTGTCTATATTCCTGAGATGAGTTATTGTAATTATTTACACTATTTACATTGTTCGGTCTGTTGTCCTCATCTTTGTTGCCATATTCACTCCTTCAATATCTGTCTATATTTCTGAGATGAGGTATTGTAATTATTTACACTATTTACATTATTCGAACTGTTGTCCTTACCTTTATTGTCATATTCAGAATGATTCAGCCTCAAAGACACATTGGCTCGTGATTGGTTCCATTGACTTGAAACTACACTTTGATCACTACCAAATGGTCAAGAACGATGGCTACGCGATAAATTCCATTTTTCAAACTTTATCAAGGCAACTTTAAAAGCGAAATGTTTCTTAGTTACATTAAATTTAATAAAATTAAAATATTAAAAATAGAACGCTCTTAATCTTGCCCTGGCAAAGTAGGATTACGAAACGAAATATATTTTCCAACTGTCTCTTTTTTTATCCAAATTGTCTTGTCTTCAGAATTATTCTGAGAAATTTAACATATGTGGACATGGAAAGCTAAAGCAAATTCTTAGTAAAAAAAAAGGCGGGCGGGTACCAATATCCAGAAGGAGGCTTTCAAAGGAGCGTTCTCTTTGTAATATTTTAAAATCTAATATAAATAAACACATTTCATTTTTAAACTTGCCTTTGTAAAGTCGGATTGATGAAACGAGTCGGTAATGACTAAGAAATATATTTTTCAATTCTCTTTTTTATCCCTACATATATATATATATATATATATATATATATATATATATATATATATATATATTGTCATCCACAGAAAAACTGTTTCGCTGTATCACAGCTCTTCCGTGTAGCTAGACGTCGATTGCTTCAAGCCAGGATCGAAATCCCACCGATTTGGCATCAGTCAAATATTCTACACCTAGGTTATCGTCGCACGGCAGATAGGAAGGGAAATTTAAAAAAAATTTCTATGTGAAATACGTCAGTGACCCTGAGAGCTCAGTTCAATTTGGTCGAAGAGCAATGTGTTAATAGCGGTATGAGCCACTGTTTTTGAAATTACCCTTTTCTCAAGACAGCTCAACCGATTTTCAGGAGAACACACACACACACACACACACA